TTAATTATTAATTTTAAAAATCAAAACAAAAAAACTAACAGTTGCAATTCCTTGACACTAAGCTTAAAAAATTAGGAAAATGTATTGCAATCATCGTTTAGCGGTAAAGAAAAATGTAGGACAGATGGTCTAGATCCGTGTTCCACTGCCACGTGGGTCCCCATCTATTGTTCCCCTCACAAAATCTTATATTATATTAATACATAAGATTTTATTTAAAATAATTATTAAATAATAATATAATTTTTTATAATAAAATACTAAAATATTTACTGAGCTTTTTACAACAATCCTAAACGCAAATTGACAACTGGCAAGCAAAGTTTAGGTTGGTCCATTTAAGAATTAAATATACATAAATATTGTAAAACATTAAAATTCCAGAAGTGCCCATATCTTCTTACTCATCCCTTTCTTTTCTAGTTTGCCCTTTTATTTCTCTGGTAGTTTCTCTCACTTCTTTCTCTAACTTCGCCCCATGTCCATCTTCAGGCAATGTTTGGTTGCTAAGAAACTAAAAGTAAAAATAATTGAACAAAATTGTAGGTTTTCTCCTCAATCGGGTTTAGATGGCAAATGAACCAACTAAAATTTACAAAAGAAAGTTATACAAGCTTTCTCTTAATTTTGGAACTCTCTTTTTTATTTTCTAATCAAACCAATAAATTTTGAAAAATTTAAAAGTCTAATGATTCTTTCCAACATATAATTTGGTATTTAGAACTGAATCAAAGCATGAATTTATAATTTTAAAAACAAAAATATCATATTTTAAAATTTAAATTGGAAATAAACAATAGAACAAACTTAGATATGTATGCAATGACTTCCATACATGTCATGTTTCTCTTGGATTTGGATTTCACTCTCATATATGTATGGGGGTTATATATATATATATATATATTTTTAATTTTTTGTTTATATGGATTGTGCTCAGTAATCAAATTTAGAACAGCGCTTGGTGGAATCCCTCTTGTACTCTCCACCGGCACTTTTATTGCTTATTTATTGAGTCAGTCACCTTGCTTTTAAAGCAATAAAAGTGCAACCGGTTGAAACCGTAG